AATATTTGCCTTTATTAAAATGGGACTATTTCAATCATGGTGTAGGCTTTATCCCCTGTATTAGTCAAACCTTAGTGTTTCCCTTTCCTCATAATGAAACAGAGCTAATGAAATACTTAGGAGTAATAACAGTTTTTTCTTTTTTAAAATGAACCAATAAAAAGGGACATGGTTTATGGTAAATAAGAGGATTGTACCTTTAAAAAGACAAACAAAAAATACATTTCCTCCTTTTCAGATTGTAAATCAGATCATTTTTAGAGTTGGGCTACTGGTCAAAGATCAGAGCGCTTACTATGCAGAATGGTTTTCTTTTCCTCGTTCTATATTAGAATTGGCTTGGGGTTTATGATGAAATCTAGACTTTTTTTTTGGTAGTTTTCTCAGTGATGAGTGAACCACTTCCAAATTTGATCATGAAGTCTGGAAATCTTTTATTCACAGAGGTTTGGTCATATAGGATGGAAATGTGATTAATTACTCAGACTGGTCTCTAATTTGTTTTCCTTTTTTTGTGCAAAGAATTATATAAATGCCACATGGAGATAGAAACTACTCTACTAAACACTGTGGGTCCTGCTGATATTTGTCCAGTGAGAGAACAGGTTGTGTGTGGCATTTGATAGTTTTCCTCTGTTTTCTAAAATGGAGCAAAGCCCATGATCCCACTGTTATAATTAAATCTTGTTTGGAGCAAGGTGCTTATAAAGTCAAGACAGAATCCCCAAGTCCTTCCTGCCCCATTGCTCACCAAGAACTTCACTTCCATTGTGTGCATGTTTGCTATAGAGGAGGCTTTAAGCTGCAATATTTGTTTAACCTCGCTGAGAACTTGCAGGACGTCTGTCCTGAAAGCTGTTAATTTATGGTCTAACAGGTTTATTTTATATGCAGATAATAATTAACCGGGGATAAAAGAATAGGAAGGGGTGACCCGAAGTAGCAAACTGAATGCTTCTGCAGTAGCAACCCTGACTACCTCCTCACCCTGCATTATGTAGGGAGGCAGGAAGTTTCTTTAAAATGAAGTGCTGGAACTAAATTTTGCATTAAATCTCATTGCTGCAGAAACCACCTACAGATAACTTGCTGGCTGATGTGCATCTTTAATGTCAGTCTTTTCCTTTCTACAATACAAAATGTTGGGGGTTTTGTTTTGATATGATAGTTTTTTGTGGTTTAGTTTTGCCTTGATAGTATTTGATTTAATGGCATTTGACTATTTTCTTGCAAGAATTTTATTTCATCTGATTGCTGTAAAGTCATCTTTCTGTAAGGGTATCATTTTTATTAGACCTTTCATCCTACATGTTATTCATGGAACATTTCTCTACATTTTAATCCCCAAAAGGGTTGCTTCCTAATTTATCACTTTTCTCTGTGCTTTGTTCATCTTTTCTGTGGCAAGGTTTTCTATCTGTTCCTAAAGAAGTTCATCCTGTGATATAAATATTGACCATATTGCAGAAGAGCCTGTATTTTCCAGTAAGGAATACCATATTTAATTCACCAACATTAATTTTTAAAAACTGGCAGAGCACTTTATCCTTCTGGTGGGCTCCCTGAGCATTTTTATTCTTTTTTCACTGTAGAGCACTGAGTTTTAGTCTCTCTGGATGTATATTTTCGGATGCTATACTTGCTAAGACAGAGGTGAATATTCTAGAACATGAATAAAATCTCCCCTACTTGGATTTATCATTTTCAGAAGTTTAGTGATGGCTTCAGATGTGTCTGTGGTCTAGACTCACGTGTTGCCCACTAAGGTAACAAATTGAAAATTATCCCTTCTACTCATATGTATAGTAACATACATTTTCCTATTGATTGATTAGAGTTTAAAAATGAGACCTAATATTTGGTTACATAAAAACATGTAGAAATAACAGTTAAAATCTTCAACATGCTAGTGTAGCATGATATTTAAAATTATCCACAACAAATATGTGCCGTTTTGAAGGGACAGTACATTAGGAACATTTTATAGAAAATACTTCCTTTCTTTCCTCTTATTCAAGTGTGAATCCAGCACTTGAATTTTTGTGGCATTTGGCATTAGTTATGCAAAACACACAGAAGGGTTTCCCACTAATCTGACCCAGCTTCGGTTTATACTCCTGCCACCAAGAGTTTGAATTGGATTCTTAATGTATAATTTGCTTCATCTGCTAATCTGTCGTCTATTTAACTTTTAAGTTTGCATTCGTCTGCTCTTTTGCTTTTGGGCACCTTGTCTAGTGAAAAATCACATGGGAAATATAATCAGTAGAGTGATACCTTAATGTGCACATACTCAGTAAATGACTGCAATGGCATAGATAAGCTCTCCTGGTTTTTCTTTTGGAGTACGAAGTTTCCATTAAATTATGGGGGGTCTGTTTCCTATTCCCAGGATAGGATAAGATGTAATAAATAATTCCTTGAAGAGTCCATTGGCCCATCAGAATTCTCAGAAATGGAACATTTGAAAATACTATTACATTTATTCTGCTTGTATACATTGTTATGGTCTGTGAATAGAATATGTACAGTGTTTGTGAATTAATAGATACATTTCTCTTTAAAAAGTTTGTTGCTGAAATTATTTATTGGAATAGCTTGTCATATCCAACATTATGCTGTCTTATAGATCGTAAACAACATAAATCAGCATGTACATTTTCACATTTTGCATTAGCCAGGGTGCATTACTTTATGTGTAACTCATCCCGATCTCATTAGCTGACTCTTCATAACTAGGGAGGCTCACTCTTCCTGGTTTGTTTATTGACTGAAGTGAGATTTTTTTTTTCCAGCTGTGCAAAGGTAAGAAAATGTTTCTGCTGCAGGTGGTATATTGGGAATAAGAGAGAAATTCAACTGTATTTGCTCACAGTATATTAAACTCCAGAAGCCAGCCTTTTAAGGGCATCTAGTCTGCATCTGACATTTTATTAGTTGCTGTTTGGTTTCTATCAATCACATCATTGCACATTAAAATGCACCAACAAAATAAGAGATCTGTCATTCCTTCGTTAAGAAACAGTAATCCGGGACAAGATTTATAGGCTTAAGTCTCAACTGTGTGCTCACAATAAATCCCTTTTCAGGGCTCAATCCACAGCAGGCCTTCCTGTCTTTCAGTGTTTTTTTTCTGGTCAAAATGGCCCCAATATAAGATTATCAAAGGTTTTCTAACAGAGTGACATAAAATCCTTTTGCCAGCAAAAGCTTAATTTAGGTTGGAGGTTTCCTTTTTTGAGTACTCTCAGACAAGATCTTGGTTATATCAGAAGCACATAGGTACTGATGTATTATTAGCAGGCCTGGTGTTAATTAGAGAGAATTACCAGAAATAGTTTGTCTCATGGAAATTTATTACAGAATCACACTTGACTGATGGCAGAATAGGAGTTGCTGAGCGAGAGCAGCTCCCACTCATAACCACTAATTAATAGGATGCCAAAATTCGTCAGAGAAGGTTTCATCCCAAGTGTGGGAGCCTCATAGGGAAAATGGTTCCTGTGCAGTATTTAAAATTTAACAAAGGAAAGGGGCTGGACACATGGCTACCTCACAAATCTCAGGTGGATTGGGCTTTAGGCTACCTGAGTGAGGTTTAACTTAGCCCCAAGCCCAAAAGCCTGTCTATTACACTAAAGAACTATGCATGTTGTTTTTGATGCGGCATGTATCTGATTCCCGCACTTGTTGTTATGAAAAGAATTTAGAATAAACTATTTGGTTTATGGAACATAACTGAACATTACTCTTCCTTCCACAATTTAGAAGCTGAGTAAGTAGCAAAATTGCCTGAATCAGTTAGAAAGAAAGGTGTGCCTTCTGCATCTTGGATATGGAGTGGAAGAAAAGCAAGGGGTTTGGTGATTGGCCCAAAATCCTGAGCAATCTAAGAAATCTACTGCATGAAATCTTGCAGAGAGAGCAATTTTTCCTGTCTATAACCGCATGTAATTGTACACAATAAAGCTGGAGCAATTATTTAGAGCATTAAAATATTTCCATGTCAGAAAATACTGAATACTGACCTCAGGGAGAAAAATAAAACAATTTTAAATTCAGAGGGTGTATTTTTTCTTCATCTCAATTATGGCAAATATATTTCCCAAGGCAAACCAGTTCTATGCTGGTCCATGAATTGATTGACACTGTCTCTTGTGCATTCATATTTCAAATAACAAAATTTCTGTATTTTTCTCCAATCTTTCCTAATTGGATTCAAAATTGGTTTTTTATATTCTAAACTACATTTGCTCCCTAGTTCAAATCTAACTTTCATTTCCTTTTTTTCTTCTGCTTACAAAGCTCACACAGCTGGTTCTGTTTTAACCTTAAAGTCTCATAGATTCTTTAACTCATTTTAGGAGATTGTAATATCTCCAGGTGTGTCTTTTATCTCTTTTTTGACCCTGGTCTGACACTGCTGGACACCCCTCCCCTGGCGTCCTCTTGGTATGTGGAAAAGTAAGTGGGACTCCAGTACATCATAACAATGTTGGCTTTTGCATAAATAAAAGTCTGCCTGTGTGTAACCCTACATCGATGTCATCTGACCCGGAAGCTTCCTCTGTCCCTGTTTATTTAAGAATCCTGACAGTGTTAGGTCTCCCTGAATAAAACAGCAGAAGAATCCACGGAGCTTATCAAGTGTGAACTTCATGAGTTAAACTGTGATTTCGTCACCTAAAACTTACCATTCATTGTGCTCTACTAAATTCATATGCTACATAGTTTTTCTGGCACCATTATGAGCACTGAATAAAAATGAACTCAACAAGCAAATTGGAGCCAAAGAGAACTCAATACTTCTGCCCCAAGAAAAGATATAAATCCTTGTGAATTTATTAATAGTTGAGCCTATATAGAGAGGCTTTTAGTGCTCTTTAGAAGTATGAACATTATAATAGATGATATAAATTAGGAATAGGAAAATATGGTCTATTTTATCAATCCGGGTCCAGTCAGGATGGAAATCTCACAAAGACTTGGGACAGCTTAAGTATAAAGAATTTTTAACCTGTCATAAGATAGCAGAGCTGATGAAAATAAAAGAACTCCAAAGGGTAAGCAAGGGCTGAGAGAGAAGCCATGGAAGAGAAGCTTAGGTAGAGAGCCCACCTGTGGCTCGGGCTCGGAGCTGCTAGACGGAAGGTGGATTCAGCCCACTGAGGGGCAGGTGTGTTGTCAACGTGTCCCAGGGCAGAGCTACCTGTGGCTGGCAAGCACAAGGAAACAGCTCTGAGTGGGTAGCACACAAAGGGAGCCGGTGTTCCTCAGCCTGTGGCCCATTGTGAGGGTCACCACAACGTGGTGGGCATGCTAGGCGAGGGACATGGTGTCTGAGGAATGAACGCTTCCTGTGAGCACGCTGGGGAGGCACCGGCAGACATCTCCACATGTGTGCATGATGGGCCACACCACAAAGCAGAACGTGGCACCCCAAACCATTCCTTCTGCATTCTTAACACCATGATCCCAAAGAAGGAGAAATGCTTAGGGTTCAGTCTGGTACCACAGAGAGATCCTGAGCGGGGAGGGGCAGTTTGGAACTGAAAAGCAATAAGTAATGATGTCCTTGGAGACAATATAAAAACAAACTGAACTGAAATCATAGAGTCAACTCTTGTATATAGTATTCAGTTGGCAAAGGACAGTGTTAGGAATTCGTTTTGGTAGAATAGGGAAAACTATAAAGCTGCTACTATCTGACTCAGGCAGTTGCCTGCCACGCAGATGTCAGTCTTTGGGGGGTTTGCAGTTGGACCATCTGTTCTTCAGTGGTATTTGTGATGTGTTGGTCCTCTCTGCAATGTGCCATTTGCTATTCTTTATACTTTTTACAACACTTCATGCTCTGTGGGAATAGAACAGAAAATCCCCAGGCAGAGGAGGGGCAAAGGAAGAATCCTGGGTTTCCTTTTAGGAAATGAACCTGAGAGAGAGGAAGGCACCTCTGTGGGTGAACTTTCTCTCTGCAACTTTCTCTCTGAGACCACTTCCGCCGCCATCCTCCTCCCCATGCTGTGTAAAGTGTGGGCTGAGTCTCACACACTTTAGGGTTTTTTTTTTTTTCTTCAGTAGTGGAGATCAAACCCAAGGCCTTCACACTGAGCTTCCTCCCCAGCCTTTTATTTATTCATTTTTAAATTTTGATAAGGCTCCTGCTAAGTTCGGGTTTGAACTTGCAATCCTTGCTTTAGCCTCCCAGAGTGCTGGGGTTATAGATGTATAGCACCATGCTGGGATTTCTTGTCAACATATTTTTAGGAGCTGTAGCTATGTCTCTCCCTTGTTAAAAGTTATTTAAATTTTTTTATTTTTTGGTTTTTTTGAGACAGGGTCTCACTATGTAGTTGAGACTGACCTGGAACTCACTGTGTAGCCCAGGCGGGTCTCGAACTCACAGCGATCCTCCGGCCTCAGCCTCCCAAGTGCTGGGATTACAGGCGTGCGCCACCACACCTGGCTTTATCCCTCCCTTTTAATGATGACAAAGAAACACCTTTGTGGCCCTTCCCTCCAGGTGCAAGGCTCTCCTCTTCCACTGTCCCCACTTGAAACGGTAATGGTGACAATGGTGGGAGCTGTACTTATTGTCTGCTAGGTACCAGGCTCTGGGCACTGCATTCATTGGCTCACTGGTTCCCTGTGACACCCTGGGAGGCAGGTACGGATCTGTCTCTGCTATCTCTAAAGAGAGGCTTGTAGTTCGGAGAGGTTAAATTGCGGGGCAGGGGAGCTGGGGAGCAGGAATGCCATCCCAAGTCTGCCTGTTGTGTTCCTAACCTGTCCTTCACCAGCAGGCTACGCTGTCTCCCACTGGGGAGTGGGCCTGTGACGTCCTGCCACCTTCCTTCCCCGCCTACCTGTGTCCTCCTCAGGGTCGTCGCCGGCATCCTCCTCCTCCAGGGGCACAGGGTACTGCAGGTGGGTCACCAGTCCCATGTTCTCCTTCTTGTAGAACTCTATGAGCTGGTCCAGTTTAGTGAAGTACCTGACCGGGACGCCTTCCGAGGCCTGCGGACGGAGCCCCAAACAGAAGCACGAGTCAGCTGACCAGAATGCCACCGCCCACCAGGCCCAGGACTGACCCTGACCCCGAAAAAGCCTTGGGCTCTGACGCCCGCACCCCACACCCTGTGGACAGCAGCTCCCGAGGGCTTTCTCCAAGACAAGCCAGCAGGATGGCTTCAAAGGTAGCCTTTGTTCTTTCAGCCTTCGCTGTACAAAATAGTGCATTTTTCATTATGGTAAAATTAGACAATACAGAAAGAAATCACCTGTATTTCTGCAACTCTGAGAAACTCATTTTCAATGGTTTAGAATATTTTTCTAGACTCTATGTATGTGTTTGATGGGGAGAGTTATTTTTGTTCTCTTCTCCACAAGATCACTTTTTAAAAATCACTTAGAGGGCTGGGGATTTAGCCCAGCGGTTCCGCCGCCTGCCTCACAAGCGCAAGGACCTGAGTTAATCCCCGGTACCAAAACAAAACAAAACAAAATATATATCACTTAGTGTTTATTTTTGAGGTATTGGAGGTGAAACCCGGTGCCTTGTGCAGGCACAGCGCAAGATTTACCACTGAGCTATGCCCAACCTCCCAAGATCATTTATTATTTATTTATCTTTCAGTGCTGGGGTGGGGGAACCCAGAGCCCTGCACATGTTAGGCAGGAGCTCTACCACCAAGCTACACTTTAGGCTCAGATCATTGATTTTAAGCACAGGAAAAAATGTATTCTGCCAAAAAAAAA